CACACATTCAAACAACTTTATTACTCCTTTCAAGTTTCTAGCCTTTGAAGGATCTCCAGACTCACAAAAAATGATTGTGTCATCCGCAAATTGCAAGTGTGACACCACAATACCCTCTCTTCCTACCCTCCATCCTCTAAACATATCCAGCCCATCAGCTCTCGAAATGAACCTACTAAATACATCGGCTACCAAGGTGAAAAGGAAAGGAGAAAGAGGATCCCCTTGTCTCAACCCTCTAGAGGCTGGAAAGAAGTCTCTAACCACTCCGTTAACTAAAACTGAAAAATGACAAGTTTCTAAACAAGCCTCAATCCAGCCACACCATTTCTCTCCAAACCCAAAATTCCTCAGGGCTTCCAATAGAAAAGACCAATCGACCATGTCATACGCTTTCTCCAAGTCCAGTTTACATACAAAACCTTTCTTCCCCCTTCTCTTGAAGTCCTCCACACATTCATTTGCTATCAAGATTTGATCTATGATCTGTCTACCTTGAATAATGGCCTCTTGTGATTGGCTTATTAAAGTTGGCAGGGTTGATTTTAACCTTAATGACAACACTTTGGCCAAAATTTTATAAATGCTAGTCACTAGACTGATGGGTCTAAAGTCTTTCGGTTGAACAACCTCTCCCTTTTTAGGGATCAAAGCCAGGAAGGTGGAGCTGATCCCTGGACTTATAAAGCGAGACTCCGCAAACTCCTCAAATATTGCCAATAGATCTAACTTGATGATATCTCAACAATCCTGAAAGAAAGCCATAGTGAAACCATCAGGTCCAGGAGCTTTAGGTCTATCCATTGAAAACACAACTCCCTTTATTTCTTCCAATTCAAACTCCTTTTCCAACTGATTTGCCACCTCTGAGTCCAATCTAAGCCACTCTAACCCATCCACTCTAAGCCTCACATCCCCCTGTCTTTTGTAAACTGCCTTGAAATGATTCGTGAAAACATTAGTAGTCTCCTCTTGATCATCCACTACTTCACCATTAATCTCTAACTTTTCCACGAAGTTTTTTCTCCTTCTTCCATTAGCGATTGTGTGAAAAAATTTAGTATTACCATCCCCTTCCTTAATCCATTGATGCCTTGATTTTTGTCTCCAACACATCTCTTCCTTTAGCACTATCTCTTCCAATTCCTTCTTTAGATTCCATCTTAAGGTCCTTTCTTCTTCTGAGAGAGAGTTGTGTCCTTTTTCATCCAAAAGTTCAATCTGGGAAATAACACTTAATTTCTTCTCCTCCACTCTCCCGAAATGCTCCCTATTCCACTCTTTAATTTTACATTTTAGCCTTTGAATTTTCTTG